TTCGTATTTGTTTTGTTTGATTGAAAGCATGATAACTAGAACATCTTTTGAACCTATTTTTTTCTTATTTGCATGTTGCAAATGCAGCAGTCTCAAACATGGAAAATGGAATCTTAGAAGTTTATTACATTCTATTTTGTCGTATTAGTAAGTAACTAGTTTGTGTGCAGATAATTACCATCATAGCCCATTTGTGTTTCATGTTTATTTCTTATTTCCAAACATGTTGCAAAGTCTCAACTGAAGAACTAGAAGCTAATTAGATTTTTAACCTTATAAATAACTAGGTTATTTGCTCATGGTTGACATTAAGGCTCATTTGTGTTTTGGTTTATCAGTTGGTTTGTCCTTCCCGTCTTAAACCACGAAGTCTTTTTGCTTCTTCAGGAACTTGAAAATTGTTAATGAGATGATTTCTTGCGATTGAACTCTTGATAGAAAATTTTTACCGATAAACCATCCCTAGCCATGCTGTTTCCAATGCCCCCTTGAAAATTAGTTTTCATTGCTATAAAGAAAAAAATTGAATGGAGCTAGGTTTTTTATTTAACATAAGGAAAGCAGTTCAATGTTTTGTTTGTGAGCTATGTTGGTTTGAAAATTTTATAACTGTTGATTCGGTTCTTACCTACAAATGCAAACCTTCTTTTTCAGATTGCATGTTCCACTGCTGTGATTGACATAGCAACAGTTTGTTGGTGAAGAGTCATTGAATCAATGAAACCTTGGTTAGTATGTCTGGATTAATAATTGAAAGTCTTCAGATGCCGTTGCCCTAAGGTGCCTAGCACGGGTTCCCTTCTACCTTTATCCTAAGTTGGAGCTTGTTTCCCATTACTGGAGAGCTGCCATTCGTAGCCCTAAGCTGTTTAAAGCTAGACAGGAAATTGGCTCAGCGGAGGAGCTTCTGTGTGTGTGTGTGTGTGTGCCTTTGATCCAGAGAACTTATGGCAGATGTATGATCCTTTACGTGGCCTTTGGATTACTCTTCCTGTGCTTCCCTCAAAGGTCAGGAACCTTGCTTACTTTGGTGTGGTCTCTACTGGTGGGAAGCTGTATGTGCTTGTTGGTGGAAGCGATGACGTTGACCCATTAACCGGTGATCAAGATGGGAGTTTTGCAACCGATGAAGTCTGGTCCTACGACCCTGTAGTCCGCCGGTGGGCTCAACGTGCATCCATGATCTTACCCCGAGCTATGTTTGCATGTTGCGTTTTTAAGGGAAAGATCATTGTGGCTGGAGGTTTCACCAGCTGCAGAAAATCTATATCTCAAGCAGAAATGTATGATCCTGAGAAGGACGTCTGGATTCCAATACCCGATCTCCACCGTACCCACAATTCAGCATGCACAGGGTTAGTTATAGCAGGAAAGGTGCATGTCTTGCACAAGGGGTTATCTAAAGTTCAAGTTCTGGACAATGTTGGCTCTGGATGGATGGTGGAGGATTACGGTTGGCTCCAGGGTTCGATGGCAGTTGTACAGGGAGCACTCTACGTCATGAGTCATGGACTTATTTTCAAGCAGGTAAAGGAAGTGAGAAAGGTCGTGACATCTTCTTCAGAGTTCCGTAGGAGAATCGGATTTGCAATGACAGGACTAAGAGATGAAATTTACGTGATTGGAGGGGTAATTGGCCCTGATCGCTGTAATTGGGTCACTGCACCCACCCCCACCCCCCCCCCCCCCAAAAAAAACTTTTTTATTATTAAAAATATATATGTAAAAATAACTATTTAGACCTTCAAGTTTTAATTTATTTTGATTTTGTCTCTCAATTTTTATTGTTAATTTTATTTTACCCCTTGAACTAGAATCTTGCTCAGTCCTGGCTCTAATCTTACTCTCCTTCGTCATGCCACCTATGTCTGTATTGAAAGGGACATGTACTAGGTTTTCCTGGTGACACGAAGCCAACCGTAGAATATATATATATATACAATATGAAGAAAATTAGGAAACTGAAAAGTGTTTGTATTAATATCAATGTCCTTACCCTTTAAAATACGTATCTTTTGACTCAAGGCCGTGAGACGATGAGCTGAACTGCGGCTGCACCTTGCTAATTAATCTTAATTACCATAATGCATTAGTTGATGATCCAAGCCTGAAACGATTTCGGATTTTTTTTAGTATAACTAGAATATGTTCATTGTTATGCTTTTGAGAAATTTGATTAAATTATTAAGCAATATTTATATTAATATTAAGATATATTAAATAAAATGAAGCTTAATATCAAATTTTCATTTCATATAAGAATCTTTCAAATTTATCCCAAACTTTTAACCACACTTGATAAATTATTGAAGCTTCTAACAATTTTGTTTTCACTTTATATAATAATAATCTTGCAAATATAAATTTCTGCAACCACATTTAATTTTGGAACAATTTTAATAGTAAGTATAAATTACAAGTGTCTTTGTATATTTTACAGTTTTAGAACGGTAAATTAGCTTTAGTTATATCATTTTACCCATGGGTGAGTACTGTCACAAGTTGATGAAGTTTACATTAATGCATGATACCTAACACATGATAGTAACCCATGTCTTGTCATATAATAGCTGTGTTATTTAAATTTTATTTTATATAAATCAAATATAATGACACCTTTTTTCCTTTTTCTTTTTTCTCTATAATTTGTCAAATCCTTTAAACAGTCAGGTAGCTTTTGATATAACCTTTTTCCAACTTTTTGTGTATTTTATATCATTTGAATAATTTTAGTAATTCTTATATATATAATTTTGACAACACAAAATATACTGTTAAACTTTGAAAATATTTTACAAATTTTGATAACTATGATATAAGTTTGTCAATATTAGGCATAATTTATGCTAAAAAAGGTGTTTAATAATGAATTATATGTGAACGTAACTAGTATTACCTATTATATCATTCTTTATGGAAATGATTACGTACGCAATTCTAACTTAGATAAACAATTGTGTACGTAATTGCTTGCTTTGATTATTAATATGGTGAAAAGGATAGTTATTGGGCTATACCCATCTGCTCATCATTTTCTTGGATGACTTCTTCTATTATTAACCCACAAATAATTGGCCCACAGTCTGAGTCAGCATTCGCGAGATAGGGCCCACTTTTCTATTCAATTGATTGACTTGATCAAATTATTATCAAGGCATTTAAAAATATACATTGTATTAAAAAATCCCATTACATTTGATTAAATAGTTATTTTTATCAATCTAATTTTGAACGTTTTGTCCATAAGATTTCATGTTAGGGTAAAGAAGTCTATGGAATTTGATTAAATAACTATTTTAATTTTTATTTTATACTTTTGGGAGTATTTTTACCTCTAATAATTTATTTGGAGTAAAAGCTCATATTTGAGAGTATTGTTTGTTTGTTAACTAACGGTTTATTTTACGGATGAATATTTTTGCAAAAAAATAAAATGTTAAGATTAAAATATTTCAAAAAAAGAATAAAACTAAAATAACCATTTAATTAAACATTAAGATAGAATATTTTCTGTCATTACGAAATTTATTATAAATTTTATGTAACTCAAAGTTCTTCAAATTTTATTTAAAAATATTATTTTTTCCTTTATACCTCACAATATATTTCATCTAATATATATATATATATGGTCTTATTAAAATTAAAATTTTAAAATTTTAAAATTTTATTTTAATATTTTTATAATATTAAAGATATATATATATTTCAAAAGTTATTATCATTTGTTAGTAATTGATTTTTAATTCATAAAATTCTAATATATATTTTATAAAAATTAACTGAAAAAAAATAATAGCAAATACTAATATATATCTTTAGTAAGGGGAAGAGACGAATCATTATTGAGCAAGTCTGAAATTTAATGTTAATCAAAATAATAGATTTTATTAACAAACTATCATAACTTATTGAACTAAATGCTAATATTTGAAAAAAAATCTTAAAATTTCTTGTCGAACAACACACAATGAGACTAAGAACATACATAAGCGTGGACCCAACTTTGTTGATTGGTAATAAAAAAAGTTTTCTCATATTAATATATATATATATATATATATAATACGAGAGGATTACGATTATATTTGTTTTAAAAAAATTAATCATTAATAGTACATATTAATAATATATATTCTACAAATATAATTGTTTAAAATTGAAACTTTTAGAAATAACTATATTTCCTTTTACGATCTCACTCAATAAGTTCAACTGACATATGTTTTTTTACATAACAAATATTACATGTAGATTGTAGGGTTGTAAATGAGACGAGGCAGATTGCGAGTTATTCAAATTCAATTTGATCAATACTTGAACCAAACAGAGTCGACTCAAGTTGTAACTTGACTCGAGCTCTTAACGAGTCAAAACTAGCTACTTGATATCCGACTTGAAAAGCTCACGAGAAACTCGTAAAATAATATATTATATTTTTTAAAATTAAATTATTAATAATATTAATATTTATATTTATATGTTATTTTTTAAAACATAGTATATGGTTTGCATGTATTAAAGGTTCAAGTTTGAGTTAGTGTTCAACCTTGAATCAAGCTCGAATTTTTGTTGAACTAAATCTGAGAATATTTCGAATTCAAATTTTTTCGAGCTTAATTCAATCTTCAATGTTTTATTTCAAATTCAAGTTGAACTTGAAAATTTAATCTCGTAATGTCAAACCCTAATTTTGGGGTTAAATTTTCTTAATTTTATTTTGAGGACTAAATTAAAATATTGGAAAATTTTAAGGACCAAAATGAAATTTTAGTTAAATTGTACCCAAATCAGAAAATTTTAAAAGCCTAGAGACTCTATGCGTAATTTACTCATTTTCTTTGTCTGGATGGTTTAAAACCTAATTTCTCTCCAGATTTTCCATTTCAGGAAACCAACACTTTCTCTCTCTTTTTCTACTTTCCCTTTTTAAAAAATTTAAGCCGAGGATCTTCAATCGTTGTTTCACCTCCAACCATTCTCTGTTATCGACATCGCTCATGCCATCAGAATCATTGCATCATCTTGAGTCCAGTGGCGGTCTTCTTGCTATTGTCATTGTCATCGTGTGGATGGGTGAGCATCATCAACTTTCTGACAAAGTGTAATCGACTTATCCACCGTTAATCGAGGTGAATCGAACCTTGTAAGTCATTCAAAACACTTTAGAATATTTTAATTTTTTAATTTTTCCGACGCCCGAAGACACTGCAAGTTCACCGCTTGGTGGGTTTCTAGAAACGGGTCAAATCGACCTGTTGAACGACCCAAATACCGAACCAACCCAGTCAAACTGACCCACCCGAACCGGTCATGCGGAGCCAAACCGTGTCAACTTGAACTGGTCGAGCTGCACCGCACTGACCGCTACTGACTGCCATCAGTGATCGTCATTGTTGACCATGGATCGACCATTGACTTTTTTCGGGACCACCTAACCTGTGGTTTTTTGACGTCCTGAGTCCTATTTTATGGTTCGTTTCATCAAATTATGACCCGAAAGCCCTTAATTGAGCTTGTTAACTAAAAAATTCTTAGTATTTTTAGCATTTTTGCTTATTTATTTGGGATTTGATTATGAAATTTATCTAGTATTGTATTTTTGTGAAGGTGCTCATGATTCACCTAACCGAGGGTCGACCATATCTGATACTTCTCATCCGACAGATCAGCACGTTGCACGTTCTTCGAGTGTTACTCGTAGGTTTTCGTAAATTGGTTAATTAAAGCTTATTATTTATTTTCCATTAGTATTTTGAGATACTTTTTCTGATTCGTATGATCTAGTCCTGCCGCGGATCGTGATAGGCAGACTCAATAATATGATACCGTCCCAGACTTCTCATATCGGTACATGTGTGTTCCTATTGGTGTTACAATACTGTTTGAAACTATATGTCTGAATTATTTTGGAAATATAAATATTATGACAACACGACATATGTTTTACTGCATACTCTGATTTATGATATATGATTTATCGTATATTCTAGCATGATCTCTGATTACCGTATTTCTATATCTGATTATGAAAAATGACGTTTTAATGTTTTATTAAACTAAATTGTTGTTTTCAGTCAAACTCATACATATTACTATCATCGGGGGTATGATTGGAGAAAGTATATTAGGCATAGTCTCTGACTTGTAAGACCTTAACGCATACTCCTCTGCTTTGTGCATTGGCTAAGACCTTACCACAGGCCCTTATGATATCACTTTAAAGTCTTTACCGGGTGTACAATAAGGTGTATGGTTCAGGGAAACCTATACATTCGAGAGTTCGGATGGATCCAGTGTTCATGTTTTAAAGAATATGTTTTTATAAAATAAATTTTACTGAAGTTTTTTTCCGAATATTTTATACACCGTAAGGAGCACAATGAGCTTTTTAGCCCATTCTTTATTTTTTTAACTTTTCAGATACTATCCGACAGTAGGCTAGCAGACTTGACATCAGGAGGACCGACTATACTCCATTTTGTACTATTGTATATTTTCTTTCGCCCATCTTTGTTATATTTTGGTAACACATGTTTTTAGTGTCATCAGTATGTATCTGTATACCGATATTTTGATCTGAACATGTTTCCATACAGACTTCTAATGATATGTATATTTATTTATAGTTATGTATTTTCGTATTTTATCGTTATTCGTATTTCATCGTTATTCATATTTTATTTACCGGAATAGGTTTCAAGTGTGTTTCGAATATGAAGTAATCTTTATATATAATATGTGATCGCCTAAATGAGTCTATGTCGGATCTAGGGTTACACACAAACTTTTGAATTGAGTAAAACTCAAATTTTAACTTTTACTAGACGTCACTCATTTACAGTAGGTCCCATTTCATGTTCTTCCGCAGTAACACTGCTCAGTTTTAATTGGACAAAGAGGACAATTTTGGATGAGAGAAAGTCGAGGTAGAAGCGACAAAATCAGAGATTAAACTTGACACAGCTACTAACAATAACAATTTGAAAATTAAAACCAAATCAAATCCAAAATTAGTATTAGAGAGTGAAAGAATAGGTGGGGAAAGCCTGTAAATGCTGAAGACAGCAAAGCTATTTTGTGGTCAGTTGTAATATAGTGATGATTCCCTTAAGAGTTCCAGCGTTTATTTCTGAATGAGACAGCAGTGAGTGACTGACAACACTACAACAAAGCCTGGACAAATTACCATTAAAATCTTCACCTCCAAATTCATTCCACAATGCGACAAAACTCACATCAACACTCTTTTTTGAAGAAAAAAAAGTAAATGAAAAAAACGAAATTATTGGTGTACGTTTGTGAATGCTTTTACTGACAAAAAAAACTTGATTTTTAAGAGATTGACAGTGGTTTAGTTAAAATCACCACTGTCAGAAAGTGAAAGTCTCACATCAGAGAGAGAGAAAAGAGTACTCAAAGCTTTTATCTTTCGACTTCCAATATTTCATGTTACTTTGAGAGGAGTGATGATGTTTCGGGAGTAGCAAAAATTTATACCATATTTGTCTGAAATGGCAGAGCAGTTGTTGTTTCTGACTGGTCTTGATCATGTGCTTTGCATGCGAGTTATTATGATGGGTATCGAGTCTTGTACTTGTTGAGGCAGTCGAATAGAAGAAAATGAGAAGAAAAAAACAGCAGAATTAGGGAAACAAAGTGTTCTGTCATGGAGGCTACAAAGATTTAGAAAGCATTCCAATTTCTCATATTATGTGTTCCCAGAATCTTTAAATAATTATTAAAAAGGGTAAAATATATATTTTCTCATTAAATTTTATTCTCTCTTATTTTATTAATTGTATTTTTAATTTTTTAATTTACTTATTAAACTTTCAAATTATTTTTATTATGATAATTTTTAATTATTATTTTTTATTTTTTATGATGTGATAATTTTTATTTAATATAAAAATAATTTAAAATAAATAATAAAAAATATTAAATAATAAAAAATAGTACATCATACAAAAATAATAATAAAATAATTCAGAGGGATTAAAATAAAAGCAATTCAAAAATTCAATGAATAAATTAGAAAGATTGAAAGTACAATGAATAAAATAGTAGAGAGAATAAAATGAATTGAAGAATGGTGTACTTTACCCTTTATTAAAAATAAAAAGCTTTTTTTACTGCTCATGGTTGTGTGCATTAATCATTTCCAGGTGAGTTCAAGCTTTCTTTTTCTTCTTCTTCATATCTCTTTCCTTTCAGTTTCTTGTTCTTAGTTTCGCTGAGGAAAAGGACCAGGGCAGTGAGCGGCAAGCAAGCTTTAATGGCTGATCAAAGCTCCAAAAAATCCCCAGCTGCCCAGAATTACGCTAAACCAATCCCATCCTTCTTTGGTTCTCCAAGATTCAAAGCTTTCACTTCAAAAGCCATCCCTGAAACTGAAGCTATCAAGAGCCCTGCTTCAATCCTCGACAACAAACTACTATTTCCATTTTGTAATCCCTTTGCGTTAAACCTACCAAAATCCCCAGAAGTTTTCTCACCTGAAAATTCAGAACCGAAAGGCATCGGGCTTGCTATACTCGATACATCCATCAATGATAACCGAGGTGAAGATAACAGTTGTCGCGAGTCTAATAACAAGAAAAAGGTCTTGCTCGGGACGGAGCTCAGAGTTCAGATTCCACCACTCCCACATACTCATTTTGGAACAAAGACCAGGAATTCATCAGGTATCCATACGAAGGATTCTCCTTGCATTCCGGTTACTGAAATGGAGCTGTCTGAGGATTATACATGCGTGATATCTCACGGTCGGAATCCCAGAACCACAGATATATTCGATAACTGCGTGGTCGAAAACTACTGCAGTGTGCCAGTGCCAGATAATAAAGTGAAGACAACATCCGAGAGTTTCCTTAGCTTTTGTCACACATGCAAGAAGAATCTTGAACAGAAAATTGACATTTACATTTACAGGTGAAAACCCCAAATTTCTTTTACATAAACTAATAACTCCATTCCATTAGGCTTAATGTATGATCTGATAAATGTGTTTGTAATGCAGAGGTGAGAAGGCTTTTTGCAGTTCGGAGTGTCGATATCAAGAGATGCTCCTGGATGGAGAAGAGTTCACTACTGCTTCAAGAAATTATTTCTGAATATTGCAACCAAAGTCATTGATTATGTAAACCAAATATTGTGGTATCTCGTTTTGTTTCTCTTTTGCTTTTGTTTTACCCTTTCCCTGCAGATAAGACATACGAGAGGATGAGATAATATTAGACTTTAGATTAATTTTTGTTCAATACGTAATGATGCATGATTGAAAATTAAACTCTGCCTTCGTTTTTCCTTTTCTATTTCCCCACAATCACATCAATCATCATATATAATTTAAAAGTCAATTACTTTACTCATCACTTTCAGGTGATTATACCACAACCCAACTATGCTTATCTTGGTTGAGAAACATATATAAAAACTTCATGAGTAGAGCCTTTATGTTTATACGATCTTAAAGTATCTTAATTCTTAGTTCAAAAAGTGTATCTTAATCATCTATCTAGTTTTGATAATATAAAATTGACCAAAACTCTAGTTTACAGTGCTCACTATCAGAAAATTTTCACAACATAAAGATTTGATTTTTGGCCTTCTAAACTAAGAAAACGATTACCAAGAAAAATAAGTGGATTCAATACAACTGCATTTCCACACCATCTTCTTACTTCTGTTGGGAAATCTTTAGCACCTGAAACATATCAAATAAACAATGATAAATAGCTTAGAGTAAGTAGTTCAGTCTAAGATAATAAAAATATGACTACATCAAATAAAAAGAATCACAAGAAATATAAATCTCTAAAAACATAAATAAACTAATTAATAAGATGCACTCCCTGAGTTTCATGTGCCCATTGATGGATATCCCAAAATGTTTCTTGATCTGTGGTCCAGCCTCATTTCTAATATTGTCACACCAGTTGTGAGTGTCATATAATTTTCGAATAGTTTTTAATGCCCTTCTAGAATTAACTCTGATAGTTTGTCGTTGGCTTAATTCTTGTTTCAGGTTCACTATTGTATCGCCAACCGTACCCATATATATTTGCTTCTGATGTAAAAGATTGTTGTTGTTAAATCTTTTATCTCTCAGCTCATTATACGCGAGATCTGGCATCTTTCTAAGGTTGTGTAGTCGTGTAACATCAAAAATCTCGGGTTAGTAGTTTGGGTTAACCTGAAAGAGTTTAGGTGAGTCCATTTAATTATCTTGTAGGAGAGCTTGGTCCATTTGGAATTTTAGTTGGGCTTGGTTTGAGGCCCACTGGATACTAAAAGGAAGCATTTTTAATGTTAGGATGAAAAATGGACTAAAAGAGTGACTATACCATTACAAAATTCAAAAGCTAAAATCCTTTAATGGTTGATGATATCTCGTCCTGCTCTCCGCTTTTTTCCCCATTCACTTTGTCATCTTCCTCCTCCACCCCTCTTATTTTTCTCTCAACTGACAAAAGGTGATAACTTGGTGGCCTTGCAATCGTAGTTTGGGATCCTAAAGGTAAGTTTCATAACCTCTATCTCCATAGCTTCAAATTGAATCCTCAATCTCTTCATTTCACCATAATAACCAAATATGGGTTTAGTGGGGGAGGGTTTAGGAACCCAAAGTGTCTTAGCCCGTTTTCAATGGATTCAAACCTTAGAAATATTTTATAATCTCTTCCTAAAACCTAAGCAAGCTAGTAACTCTTGTGGTTGATTCTTTGTTTAGTGAGAGAAGTAGGAGAAAGCTCCAAGGGCAAGAACAAGGAGAAGCTTGTGCTTGAGTGACATTGAGGTGTTATTTTCAGAAACTAGATCAAGGAAACACGCTTCTAACTCAACTCTACCACATGTAGGTCATTAGATAAGTTTTTGTTATGTTGAATGACTTATGAAGCACGTCTATGGTAGTTGCATCTTTTGATGTTTTTCCGCATGTTAAAAGACCTATTATGACCCATTTTAATCTTCATAAGACTTTAATAATAGTTGGGAACCTCATTAGGTTCATTGGGGTAAAAAGCACTTTTCGTGTCCAAAATAGGGTATTTTTGGGCATGAGTATCGGTATTGGTAAAATAATATCGATATTGTTCATAAGCTAGTATAAAATAAGGGATTTTCGGGAAGGGAGTATGGATACTCATTCATGGAGTATCGATACTGTTAGTCCAATCTTGATACTCGTTGGGTGGTATTGATACCAGTGCATTTAGAAGATTCCAGTAACCAATTGGTATCGATACTCCCAGTAGGGGTATCGATACTGAGGTATTTTTTAAAACATCTAAACATATTTTAGTATCGATACTCGGGACACTATCGATACCCTAACACCAAAGTATCGATACTTGATCTAGAACTATCGATACTACCTTCTCCTATCAGCATGTATCAATCATTAGATATCGATACCAAAGGGTGGGTATTGATACTTTAGGGTTAATATCGATACTGAAGGGTTTAGTATCGTTACCAATGGACATTTTTGCACTATAACAAAATAGGTTTTTAACGGCATTTTTTTAGATCTATAGGGCATTTTTAAGCGCCGCTAAAAATTTTCCCGAAACTAGTAAAATCACCACAAAAGGCGACTGTAAATTAAATGCCACAACAGTTAGCGGCGTTTGTGAACAGAAATGTCGCAAAAGGTCAAGATCTATAGCGGCGTTTTGGAAACAAACGCCGTTAATTACCTTGTCTGTAGTGGTTTTTGTTTTCTCAAGCTTCGTTATATGTTATGATATAAATAGCAACATTTTTGGGGAAAAAAGGTCGCAAATTTGTACATTTTTAATGGCGTTTCTTTAAAAAATGCCACAAAAGAAAGTTCTGGTTGCATATATTGTTTTCTACTATGTATTACCTAAATATAACATCATGTACCATTATGTAATTAACAATAAGACTAAAATTTAATTAGGACACAAATTATGTAAAAAGTATTTAACAACAAAATAAATTAAAATTTATTAACATTAAATTTAAATGTAATGTAGTTTAACAATGTTCACTAGAATTAGTCTAGGTTATTTCTCTTTCAATTAAAAAAAATATTCACTAAAATAAATAAAAATTCTTCTAGTGGCAATTCTGAGCATTAATCTGCAAATTCAGTTGATTAATACTCCATTGAGTTCGAGTATTAAATTGGGGAATGTAAATTAGCAACCTACAAAAGGAAATGTGCTAATTAGTTCTAGAATATCTACAACAAAATCAAATGATAAAAGAAGTACATGATTAACTTTTCTCTATGAACATACAAAAATACTTTGACTATTCACAAGTTCTTGAAATAGATTTTAGGTTCCAACTTGGACTCAATAACTTGCACTTTAAACCACTTAAAAAACTTCAAGATCGTCTTGTTTCTTTTCTTCCATTCTTTTGACAACATGCTCTACCTACAAAAATATTACATAAGTTTTTTGAAGCTAACTTTATAAGTCGTTTCCTTTCTCTAAAAATCCACACCTCTTTTTCTTCCTCTAGTTTTGAAGCGCAACCCATTTCTCTTTGCTAAAGCCTGGGGAGTGTTATGCTTTTCTTCTTTTTTTACTCTTAGTTTCGATAGGCATAGAAGCCATTAACTTTTGAATATATGGGGATAGCGTAAAGAAAGGCAAATATTTTGAACAAATCTACGACAAACGTCGTAATTGTCAAATAATTAATCATTTTTCTCAGATAATCATGCTAAGAACGTAGTGTAGAGAATAAGGGTGTCAGTCCACATGGATTCGAAAATTTCTAATATCAATCTGAATTCGTCTTTAACCAATAAATTTGTAAAAAGATAAAATTAAAAAGATAGGATTTTTTTGAATAATCAAGTAAATAAAATAAAATTAAAGTAAAACTAAGATGCAAGCAACAACAAAAATTAAGAAAAGTAAATTGTAAAAGGAATAATAAAGATGAGAAATATCATCGTGCTTCGCTTCGCCTCAATCCATCTCGATCACTGAAATAGATTTTACTTTGGATACTTACCAGTTACAGTCTATAAGGCCCAATCCTTGTAACTTGCTCTTCTCTCTTGGTAATTGATTTTCAAAGCCAATCTTTGAAAATTAACCCTTGTTTGGACTAATATCGGCTATCGATATTAACACCAATATTGGTTTGGAACTGGAAAAACCTATGCTCGGATTATGGTGTCTCAATGAGAATCAAACCTGATCTTGATTTCCCTTAGCAGACCACCGCTAAGTTTGTTCTTAGGGAATTGAACTTGCTACAAGTCGATTCTCCTTCCCAACTGTAGATCTAAACGTCGATTAAACCAACGTGCTCTATACACTCATTGGATTGAAGATATTGATATGTTGAAGGGTAGATTGCCTCTCTTTGTTTGTAGAAAAATCAAGAAAGAAATCTTAAGATGTTACATACCTTTTCGATTCTCACAAGATTGGATTGAGTGGTCGTTCAATTATCAGCTAACGAAAAGTTTAACCAAGCATAGTAGAGATCATGCTTGGCGAGTAGAAAGAAAGAAGATGAAGAAGAAAAATAATTTTATTAAAATAAACTGAAACAAAAATAAAAGCCAGAACCAGTTATATACTAAATTCTAAATGTGTACTTGTACATCTCTCAAGCTTCACCTCTAGGGTATTTATAGTCTTGAGTTAACCTAATGAAAATAAAATACTAACTCTTAAAATATTCAAACTCTCAATTTCTAACAAACTAAAAATACTAATTAATAAATATTAAAAATTCTAACAATAGTAAACTAAAATTCTAAGAAAAATAAATTCCTAATAAAATAAATAATAAAATCTAAGATGTTTGAATTTAATTACAAGTTTTTAATTCCTAAAGAATTATGATTTTCCTTGCTTTCCTCCTTTGATATTGCTACTTGGATTATTTAATTAGAGTTTGTACTTGGTTCGATTTTTGAATTTGATTGGCGCCGACTTTTCCCAAATAAATAGGAAAATATGTTTAATTTTCCTTTCAATTGTTATTTCTCGAAAAATAGAGTCATGCACATATTCGAATAAAACATCCCAAATTAGCAATATAAAAGGAGGTAACATGGATTAATTAATAATAAAATATTAACCAAATAAAACCCTCATCAATCTAAAAGTGTTATTTTTTAATAAAAATAAGAAATCTAAGTGTTCTTTTCTTAAAAATAAGTGTGAAAAATTATATATCCAGAAGAAAATTTGAAGCAAAAGGAACAACTCCGAGA